TCATCTTCAACAGAGCCATACTTGTTTCAAGCATAGGTTTCATCAATTTATTAAGTCATTCAAGACTGTAGATTCTTTGTTTTAATCTCTCTCAATCTAACTGCTAGCATGGTTTTGGTTTCGAAATGTCCACACTTTTAGTCGACAAAAGAACTTCGCATAGATCCCTGCTTTTTCCCATATTGGTCCATATTATTGAAGTATTTCCAATAAAGTATCATCTCTTTCTTGTTGTCGAAATATCAAAGTAAAATCCTTTTTTCTAATATCACTTTTAAGATGGGCCTAAATTGCTTTTCATCTTCGCAAATCGATTTCCCGGATGTGCGGACGCGTCGAAGTTATGACAAAATTGGCGGGAATATTTCTGTGCTGTTATTTCGCTCTTCAGTGGATTTTTTCCTTGTGATTAATTGTTCTAATATTATCAATATGTAATATAAATGTTTAAGGAAAAAATTTCGATTTTTCAACAAATAATTGGCGCTTTGTTTCCTTTTCGAGCGGAGTATGGGTTTCCTGTGGTGGTACACGGAATCCAGGACGGAAACGTACATACGCGCGGGAACCCTGTGTCGGTCCATGGAAAATCGACTCGATGGTATACCATTTTTTCTTAGCTATGGTGCTCCGCTCGCGCGGGCCTTKGGCCCGCGCGGGAGCTCCGCTATCAAAATTCACTGCCACCGCGGACCGCGAACCGCGGTGGGTGCAGTGGTTTCATAGGTGCTTTCAGAGTGAAGGGGTATTCCAATAAGAGGAAAATTCGCAATGGTTTCATAGCAACTGTCAATCAATCCAACTTTTAAACATTGAAAAACTAATTCAAATGTCCGTTGACTGACATTTTGTGACGTCATGCTAGTTTCCAAAACTGGTAATGAACCGTACTGAGAAAGAAAATGTAATATTTTATAGCCTCTACACTGTAATGTTTAAAATTGAGAGTCTTCAAAACTTTAAAAAAATATAGAATACCCATAATCATCAAGGTCAAAAGTGACTTATAGTTTTACAATTAAGGAAATGTTTCTTGAAGAAAAGTCGACTGGAACAAAAAGCGGAATTAATTAAACAACTACTTGGGCATGCCGATTAGACGTTCTAGTAAACTTAGTTTTATAGGCGTTTAAACTTTTCTTGTCAATCGCTAAAAGATACGTTGTTCTTACTGTAATCGTTTGAGAAAACTAGACTGCACAGGCCTTAAAATATAAGTACACAATATTAGCCAATAAATAATTGTATATTGATTTGAAATAATAGATCCCGGTCTTTGGAGTCGTCGTCGTCGTCGTCGTAGTCCTCGTCAGTGCTACAAACAATGTTCGACGATTTATAAATGCCAACGTTGTCATCATGCGTGCAAAAGATATCCACATGGAAGTAATTGCAACAGGCTTATATGCACTTATGGAATATGCAAGACCAATTGCAAAATGATTTGCCAACAAAGATAAAGGTCGTGACTGCATGATCTTACTGAAAGATTGCAAGAAAAAAAGCACATACACACATCGGGACATGGGGCTAAGAACAGATTTAGGGCAGAGGGCTTCCCATGATTAGTTTTGTGGTCTGTTAATCATATTTCAAGGCAAGTAACAAGTTGTAGTAAATTTCAGAAATAAAGCATTTGAAAATCAAAGAATATCTTTATGTATTATTAGATTACGTCTCCTTGACATTTAGTTAATACAATGTTAATAAGTTAATAGTAGATTTCAGTTTTAAGTGATTCTTCAGCAGTTTTATAGTTTGGTCTGGAAAGTTAAATATGTCAAGTCATGTACCTGTAGTTTTAAATTACCAGGAAGAATAGTTTTGAATTACCAGTAGTTTTAATGTCCAGCATTTTTTATGCTGTAGGGTTTAAGATCAATATTTAATTTACAGAGTGATTGTGAAAAGTTCAAATATCATTATTATTGTATTTTTTATAAGTAATTACTTCAGTTTAAGTTTATGACGCAGTATAAAACTGTTCACGTGATCAATATTTTACTAATTGAACATAGCACGTTACATCCATTATATCCGCTTATTCCAAAAGTTAAAGAAAACTCTAAAAAGTTACGCACACAATCCTCGGCAAGACCTATAAGATCAATACAGAACGTTTTAAGAATTGCTTTTTCAATAGTTTTTAAATATAATTTAGAAGCGAAGGAATGATCTTAACGTTTCTATGCATATATATACAAATGATTCTATTATTATTATTATTTGAACATTTATTTTTATTCTATATCGCTGTGTCTATATGGCCGGTTACCGGTCAAGGTCTTGAAAATGCTAAATGGCCGGCAACCCATAAAATGTGTTTTTTCACTCTCTTATTATCTAAACGAGCTTCCAAACTCCAAAATAAAACTCTACGAGTAAAAAAAGTGTGTTAAAACTTACATAAACGTCGCGCCGAAATTCGTTGCACTTAGAGACATTGTGCGAACTTGAACCGACTGCCGGCCACGCAACAACGAAATCCTAAATGGCCGGCAGCCCATAAAATAACATATTTCTCTTTTATTATTCTTATTTAAAGAGTTAAAATAACATAATCAACATTTCTGAAACTTTCATGGTACTGTATAGACATTTTTCTATTCGTGAAAAATCTCAACCAACACGGCGGACTGCCGGTCACGCAACATCAAAATCCTAAATGACCGGCAGCTCACAAAATAACAGATTTGTCTTTTACTATCTCTATTTAAAAAGTTAAAACAACATAATCGACATTTCTGAAACTTTCATGGTACTGTAGAGACATTTCTTTATTCGAGAAAAATCTCAACCAACTGACGGCGGACTGCCGGTCACACAACATCAAAATCCTAAATGACCGGCAGCTCATAATTAACAGATTTTTCTTTCCATGCATCTTTTATTATTCAAATTTAAGAGTTAAAGGATTACTGCCAGTTCCAACTGTAAGTACATTACTCTATCCGAGAAAAATCTGCATTCTTTACTAGGATTACAGTTCATGTTCAGATGGTTATGCTGGGTGGCAGATAGCTCACATGATATAATGTTGTATTAAAATGATATATGATGATAATGTTGCATGATGATAATG